TTAGAAATGGGAGGAAAGCAGCTAAAGGTGTAGGGAAGGTGTGATACGTAGGGGAAGAACAAAAAGGGAAAAGAAAAAAATGTGAGAGAATGAAAAGATGAAAATAAAGTGTTTGTAGATGGGGAGGGGAGGAGGGGGTGAAGGGAGGGCAGAGGTAAGGGGAAAAAAATGAGAATCAAGACTTGCCATGTAAAGGTACATGATCCCAACAATGAATGTAACTGTACTGTATCCCTAAATGTACCAATAAACTCAATAAAAAAAAAAAAATGATGTAATTTACTATGGGGAATGGGGAATGGTCATCTATAAGAAAAAAATATTTGGCATTTTACATTATTTCCAAAATCTGAAAATTATCTACAAAGTAGAATGTTCATGAGTCTAACAGAGCACATTTCTTTTAAAATACAATACGGGCTTTTTTTTTTTTTTACTATAATAACGTTTTAAAACATCAGGTTCATTTTTTTTTTTGCTACCGGGGATCGAACTCAGGACATTCTGCTTGCAAGATAGATGGCTACACCACTGAGTTAAATTCTTGGCCCTCAGGTTCATTTTTAATATGTAGGAGTGTAATACAACTGCAACATAACTGTAGAGTGAAAAGCTGCATGTCATGGGGAATGATTTAAACTTTTAATCTCTTTGTGTATATAAGGAACTGGCTTACCGGAAGGAGATGGTGAGAGCTGATCTAATTAACAAGAAGGTCGGAATCAGGTATGCTTTGAAATTTTAATGTATTTACTTACTGTTTGAGAAAATTTGAAGAAGAACAAAGTATACACAACTCTATTTAATTTTCCCTAAGTGAATGTTTGGCGAGGGTTTTGATCTCCAGGAGAATTGAAGAAGTGATAGAGCATCAGTTCAGGTATCTGATATCTAATGGGACTCAGAAAGAGAGGTTGCTGTAGTAGCATATTTTAAAACAACATGTAAACATGTCTTTTACATAATCCAGTAATGTGTGTAGTTTATACATTCCTCTTTCAGAGAGACTCCTGAAAATCTTGCCAAGCTTCTGACCAGAATGTATTTGAAGTCAGAAGTCATAGGTGATGGGAATCAGATTGAGGTGGAGATCCCTCCGACCAGAGCTGACATCATGCATGCATGTGATATTGTAGAAGACGCAGCGATTGCTTATGGATATAACAACATTCAGATGTCTCTCCCAAAAACATACACCATCGCTAATCAAGTAAGATTGCACCCTTAAGTAAACACTGCTTATTGTTAAAAACTGATTATTGAATGCCAGGAAGGCTTCACGAAAAACAGAACATAGGAACTAAGCAGTATTTGGATATGCTTTGCTATTAGAAGCATTTGCTGTGGAGAGGGTACAAAACAGATGTCCACATCCTTAAGTTGAAAATCTGTGATGATGGGGTTCTTTGAAGGAAGACAGGTTTGTTTTTTTTTGGTACTGAGGATCAAAACTCGGACCCTTGTGCTTTCAAGGTAGGCAGCAGAACCACTGAGCCAAATCTGCAGCCCGGAAGACAGGTTTTGAGTGTGGAGCCTTTGTTGCATCTTGAGCTGGGGGATTCATTTGCTCGACTTGGGCCCGAAGGCAGAAGCTGTGTACAGGAGAGGTGGCAGGTGGGGTGGGGGTGGGGGTGTTAGGAAGAAGTTAGCAAGGGAGATAGATGGTTTCTTCTAATGACAAAGCTTGTATAAATATCTTTTTAAAATACAGATTTTATTGAAGTGAAATAAAGTGGACTTTTTTTTTTCCAGTTTCCGCTAAACAAGCTCACTGAGCTTCTCAGACATGACCTGGCAGCTGCTGGATTCACCGAAGCGCTTACCTTTGCTCTGGTACGTATCAAAAGATACCCTTTCTGCTCAGCTGATGGTTTATTTTCAGTCTCAGAATTATTTGTTTTGTGATTTCCTACATGTGTTAAGAAAATCTAGACTGCTAGAATTTCCAGATTCTGTAAGTATTACAGTTACTTGAGATGGTTCAATTTCTGGGAAAGAAATGTTGAAGCATTTCTTTTTATAGTTGCAGAAAAATATAAAGGCCTAGAAAAATATCTTCAGTGACAGATGACAAAGTATTGTGTAGTTTCATGTAAGTGTCAAGGGCTCACAGTGAATTTCCTAACCAGATTTTTTAAGTTAGAATATTTGGTCTTAATTTGGTTGAGGCTATGCCCACTAGATGCCGCCCTGCTGAAGGTCTTGTGGGCTGTTCCACATTAAACTTACTCCTTTGTCTTTGAACATGTTCACAAACATTTGCTTTGAGTTGAAAAGCTGACATAAAAGGCCCAAATCAGGAAATGAATTTTATTACAAAATCAGAAGGAAATCTCCCTCCCCCACCAGATTGACCATTTGAAAGAATCAAATGTGTATGTAATTTGTAGGGTTGCTTCCTCTTGCCGAGCATTCTGTGGTGCCTACACTGTAGTTCTTAAGTATTCAAATAAGTTTAAATCTAATGACCTGTGGTGGGAGCGGGAAACTACCTCACCCCCACTCAACCCCAGCTCTGAGATCCTTAATCTTTTAGAGTGTTTAAGGGACTGTCGAGATGTTGAAGTGTAGGCTTTGATTTTTCTAGTTCATCAGTTATTCATTCTGCCTCTGCATTCATAGCTGGTCAGACTCTTTCCTGTGCTGCGCTTGGACATGGCTTCAGGATCGTTCCTAAGAGAGCAGAGCAAGAATCACTAGAGCTGACTATAGCATGAGATGAATTCTGTTTACCATTTCAGTTATGCTACACTGTTCTTTTCAAGTATATGCCAACTAGTCCTTCAAGCCACTTTGTAGACCTCTCTCACATAAAAACAGGCATTTTTCTCTTTTAGTTTCATTCAGCTTAGTATTTTGCTATTAGGAACTTCATCATTTAGGTGCAGGGAAATTAAATAATGCAGTTAGAAAGAACATCAGGCAGTGTTCAGGCCACTTGAATTCAGTTGGTCCTGCCACCCTGCCACAGGTCAGGGTAGGTTTTCCAAGGACTCTATGGGTGATCAAAACAGAAAGCCATGGCACTTACCAAGGAGGCAGAGAATTTCTGACTGGAGTCATTTGAGATATTTTTATGCAGGACGTGGAACAGAGGTCATTTAAGTAAAGCCTGTAGGAATAGCTGCTTGTGGGGGCTAGGAAGGCATTTTAGCTAAAGGCAGGCAAAAATGTAAAATTCATGGAACAGGTAGGGAATCAGGAGATCAGACTGGAAAGGTAAATCAGCAGCTAGTTTAGAAAGGACCTGGGTATAAATTATGCTACCATTTTCACATGGAAAATTTACTTAGCCTCATGTCATGGCTAGAACTCACAAAAGAACTCTTAGTATTAAATTATGTCTTATATGGGCTTGAAATTAATAAGGTTTTGTTGTTGTTGTTGTTGTTGTTGTTTTTAAATACCAGGATTCAAACTCAGGACCTTGTGCTTGTGAGGCAGGTGTGGTGCCACTGAGCTAAATCCTCAGCCCAATAAGTTTTTAAGTTTATTTTTATTTTTATTTTATTTTATTTTATTGGTACTGGGGATCAAACTCAGGACCTTGCACTTGCCAGGCAGGCGCTGCAGTGCTGAGCTACATCCCTGGCCCTTACGTTTCTTATTAACTTACTGATTTATATAAAGAGTATACATTGCTGTGAACCACTGTAAGTTGACTGCTAGCTTCAAATATATTTAAAGTTAAGTTTAGTCCTTGCTTTTCCATATTGATGTATGTCCTTTGTGCTTCTTAGTGCTCAAAAGAAGATATTGCTGATAAACTCGGTTTGGACATCTCTGCAACAAATGCAGTCCACATAAGTAACCCTAAAACAGCTGAATTTCAGGTAAGAATTTTAAATGGGTAAGACTTATGGTAAAAACCAAGAGTTGATATGTGAGTTAGGAAAACTCTTCAGTTATTGTACATTTCAGATAATATAATCTTCAAGGTTTTTATTAGTCTCTCCTTAGACAAGTCTATAGTTGGCTTTTTATATACTTTGCTTACAAAAATTCTTAAAACTTTTTTTTTGTAGCACTGGGTATTGAACCCAGGTCCTTGTACATGCTAGATAGTTGTTCTATCACTGAGCTATACCTCTCAAATTCTTAAAACTTTAAAATAATCTTGTCTTGCAGGGTGTGGTGGCATACACCTATAACCACAGCTCTAGGGAGGCTGAGACAGCAGTATTGCTGTGAGTTTGAGGCCAGCCTGGGCTACATACACAATGAGTTCAAGGCCAGTCTGAACTATTTAAAAAAAACAGAAAAAAAAATTCTTCCTTAATTTTGAGAATGATTAGTGATCATTAGAGCCGGACTAATATTTGCATAGAGTGAGTTTTCAGTAAGCCTTAATGGGTTTTTATTTGCGTATTCCAATTGTACCCCACTGCAGTTACATTTGTCAAGAATAATAGATTTGAGGGCTGGGGATTTAGCTCAGCAGTTCGGTGGCCTGCCTTGCAAGCGCAAGGACCCGAGTTCAATCCCCAGTACC